AAGGTGCCGCTACCTTTGCCTCGTTGTCGCCTTCTCGTCGCCACGGCTTGATTCGTCTCGGCATTCTGGTCGGAGCGCACCTCAGGAGATGTCTGGGGAAGAGCGGTATAGGTATCCTTTCAGCAGGAGGAGAAGAAACCGGCAGTGGACGAGGAGGAGGACAGGGAGGAGGATAGGAGGACGAGAACAGGCTCCATATGCCCATATGCCCCTGCTTCATTGGCTTCAGTCGTCCCCCTCTTTGGAGAGTGGGAGGCCTGGAAATGGGCACCAACACCATAACAGAGGGCTGCCTCCACAGGAGGGAGGTGATCCTAGATTTCGGTGTTGGTGGTAATATTTCGGCCACCTTGGAAGCCAGAATATTACCACCATCACCGAGATCGGGATCTTCTTCCCTTGGTGGAGGCACACCGCCGATCTTGGTGTTGGTGTCAACCTCTAGGCCTGCGAGAGAGGCTTGCGCACATCGACTGCAGGCCCCCCCCCCGGAGAAGAACGCCCCGGGAACGCGAACGCTCAGACGCCACACCACCCTGCTCCTCATCCTGCTTCTGCCGAAGCACCTCGCACCTCCCAGGGGTAACGACTCCGGGGGGGAAACATCCAGCTGGACTCGGCTGTACGTCGCCGATAGATCGGCTGTTCGCCATTTTCGGCCTCCTGGGGTCCCTGGCCAAGTCCCACGATCGTCAAACGAGGGCTCAGGGCGAAAAGCTGGCCCTGGGGAACGGGATGGGGCTTCTGGGGAGGGGGGGTGCGCATGGATACAAACACAATACAGCGAATCTCTAGATCTTGGCGATGGTATGACGTGTTCGATTACTTTCGTCCCTCCACCTCCTTCCTCCTCCTCCCTCCCTCATTCCCTCCCTCCCTCCATCTCTCCCTCCCTCCCCCCCTCCCTCCCTCCCTACTGCATCGTTCCCAGACGCGCTTTGATGTTTGTTCGGCGCGTCGGCGCCTAACGTCTCAACACGTTCACCGCGGCTGGCCCTTCACAACGAGACGTTTCCTCACGGCCCCAATGCCAAGTCGCCAAATAATGGCGAAACACCGGATTTCCCGATGATGCGCCAGGTGTGCGTGCTCTGCCCTCTCCCCTCCTCCAATAGCCCTGCCTTTGCTCCCTCCGCCTCCTCCTCCTCCTCCTCCTCCTCCTCTCCTCCTCCTCCTCCTCCCTCTCCTCCACCTCCTTCATCCTCCTCCTCCTCCTACCTCCTCCTCCTCCCTCCTCCTCCTCTCCTCCTCCTCCTCCTCCTCCTCCCTCGTCTTCCTCCTCCTCCTCCTCCTTTTCCTTATGTTTCTCCTTGTCATCTTTATTATCCTCCTCCTCCTCCTCGCCTCGTCCTCCTCCTCATAAGCATCACCATCATCATCATCATCATCATCATCATCATCAGCAGCATCATCATCAGCATCACATCATCACATCATCATCATTATCATCATCATCATCATCATCATCATCATCAGCAGCATCAGCATCATCATCATCATCATCATCATCATCATCATCATCATCATCATCATCATCACCATCCTCATCCGTTCCTCCTCATCCTTCTCCTCGTCCTCCTCCTCCTCCTCCTCATCCTCCTCTTCCTCATCCACTACTACACAATATAAATACTACTCTCCTCTCTCCCCTGATGACGTCCGAAGACGTTCGGCACCCATCCGCGCACTGATCTTCCACACAAGATTACGGGGAAATGGGTTTTCGTTTCGAAACGACATGTTGCTGTTTTTCAAAATGTTGTTCCTTCCGAAGTGCTGGCCCCATTTCTGCGCCTTCGGTTGTTCCAAATCGTGTTCCCGCTGCGGCGCGGACGTTTTCGGTCCGTCCGAATAGGCCCCAGAATCTGGAAAATGCCCCCCCGAAAAAAACATCGGAAGTGATTCCACATTCGGTGTCGAGTTGTCACTTGCTCGGGCCACAGAAGCCCAAAAAAAACTTGGAACGTCGTCGCTTTCAGGAAATATCGAGCGGGAACCCCGTTTGCGCTTTGAGAAGGCGATGTTGAAACCAGAGCCAGCGGGTGCTCTCCATCAGCCCCGCCGTGTGTGGAGTTTGTCGGGGAGCCCAAAGAGCTAAACGTGGAACCGCGGCTCCAGACTGGCCCAAACCTCCCGATGACGATCCACTTACCCTCCAAGAAACCCGGCGCCATGCCACGACATGCTGTGCGGTCCTGTGTTCTGCGCCGCTGTGCGATGCCACGCTTTGCGTTGCAATGTTTTGTGTTGCAATGCTTCACTGCGCAATGCCACGCCAAGCTTTTGGACGCCCGAAATGGGCACGGAAAAAATCGGGTACAATGCCGAACAACAAATGTTGTCCAAAACTCACAGCGGCCGCTGTTGGGAAGGCGGCCACCTGTCTCGAATTGACACAAGCCGCGGCGGCGTGGACAGCGAGTCCTGTCCAAGTTGAACTGGAGCTGCTGTTGGGCATTGTACCCATTTTTGCCGTACCCATTTCGTTCGTGCCGAATGCTATGGCATGCTACGCTCTGCCGTGCTTTTCTACGCCATGCCATGCCGTGCTCTACCATGCTTGGCGTGCCATGTCGCGATCATTGCCCTGCTCGACATCCGAATGTGCGAATGGAGAGGATATATACGCCATGGTAAAGGATGGGAAGGAGGGGTGGGACTTCAGATACGACGCGAGCGCCATTAGCTTGTCCACCTCCCCCTCTTCCATTCATTGTCCCTTATGTATACTTCCTCCCTGTCACACCCCGGAGACAGTCGCTAGGGCGGGCCGGGCGTTTCGCCTGAAACGTCCCCACCATTGATGATCATTCCGCTTAAAATGTGCAACAACTTCACGGATGGAGGGCGGGCCGCTTTCAAAATGTACCCCCCGCCTTAGCGCCAAGCACATCCGCGTTACAAACCGGGAAAGCCTTTTACAGACTGAACAAAAGTAGCTTTCGAAATGTGATTATCGCATTAGCGCCGCGCACGAATAGTGAAACAGACCAAATTTCAACTGACTGACGACTGATCGTCTTCGAAATGTTCCTATCGGCCTAGCGCCGCGCACGCTCGTGTTCAAAACTGCAACGGTTTCACGGATTGACTGCGGGTGATTTTCAAAATGTGGTTGCTGCCGCAGCACCGCGCACATTCGTTTTCAAAGTTCACCACTGTTTCCAAAGACGCTCACGGTGAACGTCCCAGAAACGGTGTTTTGGAACGATATGTCCAATCAGGGCGCAACAGTCACATTGACTCGCGGCGTTGAAATCCCAGGGATGGCGTTCTGGCGCAATTCCGGATCGCCGAAACACAACATTGACGGTGACTCGCGGCGCTGGACATCCCAGGAACGACGTTCTGGCACAGTTCAAGATTGTCAGAAGGTTGTCCTCCAACGGGGGATTTTCTCCAATGACAATGAGCCCTTGTAGAGGCCTGCGAAGAGAGAGAGAGAGAGAGAGAGAGACATAGGGAGAGAGATGTAGACTCACACACACACACACACACAGATTGGTGGAAGGGTTTCTTGTAGCATCGTTGATGTGACTTGGCTTTACGCTGATCACCCTCCTCCTCGACCCCCCTGTTCCTCATTTTCCCTTCCTCCTCCTCGTCCTCCTCCTCCTCCTCCCCCTCCTCCTCCTCCTCCTCATCATCATCAGCATCCCCCTCCTCCTCCTCCTTGTCCTCTTCCTCCTCCTCCTCCTCCTCCTCCTCCTCCTCCTCCTCCTCCTCCTCCTCCTCCTCCTGATATCCCGCCTCCTCCCGGGCGAGGGACCGAAAGGGCCACTGGCCAGCGAGCCCGGCCCCAGAGCGCAGCTTCGCGGCCCGGCCCACGGTCGGGCCCCCCGCCGTCAAGACCAGCCCCAGGCGCCAGCTCGACCCCACCAAGCCACGGTTTTTGAAAAGGAGGCGGGACAAACAAAAAACAAAAAAAAACAAACAAAAAAAAAAAAAAAAAAAAAAAAAAAAACGAGACTCGAGTCCCCGGGGGGCCTGCGCCACGGGTGGCGTAGCGGCCGCGGAGGGGCGGCGGCCGCGGGCTTCCGCGGCTGTGCCAGTGACTAGACACGCACACACAACACGACACCAACCCAGCACCAACATGGGGCTTCAACGGCGCAGATTTCCCAGCCCAGCCCCAAGGGGAGCGGAGGGGGGAGCGATCGAGGGAGGGAGCGAGGGAGCGGGATGAGGGAGGAGGGAGGAGGCAGGGAAAGAGGGAGCGAGGCCCTCCATCGCTCACCCCAAACGCAGAGCTGGGCCCAGGGGCGCTGGCTCAACAGCACCAATCAGACACCAAGGATGGCACAACCCAGCCGCTCCATGCCACATTACCCAGCTTGTCTTCGCTTTCCTCACACTCCAAAATGGGGCAGTACTAGTATCGCGCGAGTTTGGCTGCTGTCAGTCGTCCGCCGCGTCCCCCTCCTACGTACATTTGTCACCACCAAAACTACTACCCATTCTACCGCTGGACTGCACGACCATTCCTTCGCCTACTCACAGCTGCCCGTCGCGTGTTCGTCCTCGTCCTCTCTCCTGCTCATCCTTGTTGTTTGCGATGTTTCCCCCCATCCTGGCAGGCAAACACAATACCCGCGCGCGTCGGCGGCACGGGGAAGGCAAGCCTGCCAGGAACTGGACGGGGGGAACGGCACGGGGAAGGCACAGCGTTCCCAGAACGTCCAACCGTCCTTGCATCTCCTCGCTGCGGGCCTGCCTGGATGGCCACGCTGCACAGGAATGCCGGATCGAGGAGTTCATGCTGCCGACGCCAGAGAAGGGAACTGAACGGGGGAGGAGCTGGCCTGTCGGACGGCCCGGCGGAGCTGGCCTGTCGGAGGGCGGCGGCGGGTCGGGGCCCAGGGAGCAGGCCCCTGTGTCGGTGCTATGTCGGTGCTGAAAGGGTCGGCGGGCGAGAGGGAGAGGGAAGAAAAAAGAAAGAAAGAGAGAGCGAGAAGAAAAATAACAACAACAACAACAACAACAACAACAACAACAACAAC